GGGGACACATATAATGCAAACCGATTTTCCTAAATTTTCAAGAGTGTAAAGGTGTTTGTTTATTTTAAGGATAATTGAATGTTTTGAGTACATATCATTTAAACCCTTCAATGAACGCAAGGAGTTGGTTATCAAGACTATTGAAGCTGGAGTTATTGACATCCAGAAGTGGAGGGCTGAGGCTATTGCGTGAAGTTCCGCTGTGTATAAGCTGCTTAGTTTATGTAGTCTTATTTTATGTGTTGGAGTTATGGGTAACAAACGAAGAAGCTGTAGCATCATCGGATTCCGATCCATCAGTTCTTTCGAGGGTATTGTCAAGTGTCCATATATAAATATTTCTTTCTAAATATCTGCAACAATACCACAAACTTTTGAGTAAATTTCTATGTCAAGGCGGGTTGTCCCTATTTTTAAGTCTTGGCGCACCTCCACAGCCCCCTTCTAATAGGGTTAGAGGAGTAAAAATTTGCATTTGAATTGAGTCGGTGTTACTGAAATACCTTTGGGAGTTGTAACATTTTTGGAACATTTTGCCATTTTGTTTTATCGTTTTTTTATAGATTTCGCGGACCATTTCAACTTCCTCTTCCTTTTTTTTTAATTGAGTTTGAGTTGTTTTTGAATCTTAAATGTCATCTCCTATCATCATAAGTTAAATTCTAAAACGAATTATAAAATTAACAAAACCCAAAACGGAGAAAGGGATAAGCCGTTCCATTGATTTAAAATCATTATTCAATTTCCTCATGTAAGAGTTAATGAAACAATTAACTTCTCCTCTGTTTTCCAAACAAAATAAGTCTCAGTAACGCAGTTCTGCTGCTCAGTTTTTTTTAAATTTTATATCAGCGAATCGTAATTAATAATATTGTAAATAATGATTTCATCTGGATTGTCCAATTATTTCCTAGGCTTATCGATTATTCGATAGCAGATATCCCTGCCTGCCGAACCAGCGGAACTATAATCCGATGCTGTGCCGACTCCAATTAACATCAAATTAACCTGGTGCATGTATCGCAACCGCAAAACGGATTTTGTTATGAAGAACCTATTTACAAAGCTCAAAACATGTTCCGCTGAGAGCATTAATAATTCATATCTGATTTCGTCCAGGCTCTGTTAGGCTGAACCATCAATTGGTTACCTGATAATAAGAGCAAGTCCTAAAAAGTCCAGAGGAATCGTCTCTATCAGTTTATATTCTAATTAATTCAAAATAATATAATAAATTTTGCGTTACAAAATATAAATTACATAAAATTACTTGAAACGTTATTGCAATGCGTTACAATTTTGCACCGCTACATCACTGACCCATGTTCAATTAAGTCAAACTTTAAGGCATATATAACGTTTATAAAGAGAAGTAAAAAAAAAAATGAATTATTTTACAATGGGTTTTAACATGTCAGTTTATTATTAATCAGAAATTTCAGAATGTGGTTGTGAAACTTGCCGTAGCGGAAACTTCCTTATAGCGGACAACATTTCAATCTCTATCTGATTGTTTTATAGTATAAGTGACTTTTTCAAAACGGAGGTACTCTATAATTGACAGGCTTGAAACAAAGTTTTTGAGGTTCGTGTTCTGAGAACATTAATCTAATTTATCATAGCTTAGTTAAATTATGTATACTGGAAATTCGGTTTTCAAACCGGGGTTACAGTTTTAATTGAAAGAGTTCAAAATTGGTATATGATATTTTAAAGAAAAAAAAAAAAAAGAAATGTGTGAGAAATGGGCCGAATACGGAAATGTTAATACAAATAAAAGATTTCCTAAAACATCAGGTTTTGCCGTACATCAAGTAACATATGAATGATTTTGTCGAGCTCCTGTCTTACCTTCCAGCATTCGCGCTACCATTTCAAACAGTAATACCCGCACTGCACCTTTGAGCTGAATGTACTTTCTCGTGGTCTCTGAATATTCCGAATCCCGAATGAATACCGAAGAAGCTCTATTACAAATTAACAGGCACAAAAAAAAAATCCATTTCGAAGGGAGACATTGAAGCAATTGTACTGTTTTTATCTATGCTGCTCCAGTGGTGTCAAGAAGATGGTTTCATGACGCAATTCGCTCCACCAAAATTTTTGAGCAGAGCATGGTTTGACGGGTTTTTGAATCATCGAGGGGCTTTGAATTTTAGAAATAGAGAGTTTTAGACCCAAGGTGAAGGAAAAACATGAAAACAGACCGCAGAAAGTGTACCTTAGCTTTCACTATTTTAAAGAAGAGTAGAGCATCAATACGTCTTGGGAGGAAGGAGTCAAGGTTTATGCGCCATCGACCTTGAAGGGTACGGGCACCCCTGTCCAGGCCAAGCCCATTCGGCAAACTAAATAGCTAACTTCCAAAACGTTCTTCTTCTTGGTCTACCTCTGGTGACATTCATAGCGTCGAGGAGCCTCGATCCAACGCAGCCACGCCTCTCGGTCCCAGCCAAGCTGCCTCATCTCTTGCAGAGGTTTCCCTCTCTTCCATCCAATCCGCTGCATGTACTCCTGGTAGGAAATTCTGGGTTGGCCTCGCGGTCTCCTCCCAGTGGATCCAGCTTCCGTCACTTTCCGAGGTTCTCTTTCATCATCCATCCGCAAAACGTGGCCAAACCAGTTCAGTTGTCGATTTTCAAGCATTGTGTTAAGCTCTACCACCTGCAGCTCCTCCTGTATCCGTTCATTCCTGAAACGTTCAAACATCACTATTACAAATAATTCGAAATTTTAATAATTTCCAAACACATATGTTTCCGTTTTATATGTACACTTTTATTATGAAAAATATATCATTTCTCATAAAAATGATTTTTAAATGACGAATCTATTCCATTTATATGACATATAAAATACAATTTTTACCTGCTATTATTAGTTTTTTTTATCATGTTCTGCATCCAGTTTCTCTAAAACGGACATCTCTTTAGAGTGGACAAAATTTCATTACCGTTGGTATCAGCTACTTAGAAATTTTAATTATATAGTTATCTATTTTTTTTATATGAATAGAATAGACTTCAATAGGTTATGTTAATAAAAAACAAGTTTTTTCGATGTCCTGTCCCACAATTTTCTTTTAGTTTATAATCTTTACTTCATATATACATTTCGGTGCATGGCCATCATCAGTATATCTGAATAAATGCGCATTTATATTTATACAATCTGCTAAACCAAATAATCTTGTATATAATCTCTACTTATCTTTAAAACAAAAGTTTTTAATATAATTTATAACAATTACCTGCTATTCCTATTTTCACAATGTCTTTTTTCTTGTAAAACAATTTAAACTTTGTCATCGTCTCTTTTCGTGTCGAATAGACAATGGTCATTTTATTTAAAATACAAATTATATTTAAACCACATCTAAAATTATCAAAATACTTAAAAACATATAAATAATAAATTAACCTGTACCACTACAACCCATGAAGGATCTGGGGTTCAGTACTATTTTAGGGAAAGCACTGTTTCTAGGTCAACGGTTGTGCAAGGAGGTGATTTGACCGAGATCACGCTCAACCGCCAGGTTTTCCCCTTTAATTAATTATTTAATTAAGGGTACCCACTTTATAGACGCTGGGTGTGCCTCAGGAGGGACTTCTGACCCAAGGTCGCCCCACGGCCAATGAAACAGATAAATAAATTTTCTGCCATGAGCCGGGGTTCGAACTCGGGACCTTTGCATTGGAAGCTCAGTGAAATAATAAATTAAAGGGTTCAAAAACTCCCAATTCACATTAAATACATTTAAACAATTAAAACCTGTTATTTTATTACGTATTCAATTTAAATTATTACATTATATTACATAATTTATTTATTTTACTGTTTTATTAGTAGTAACATCATTTAATTAAAAGACCTATATCTATTAATTTAACATTTTTAAATATAATATAACGTCAATGCAGAGCTATTTTGCAAATATTAGAAGCCAGAAAATCAATGATCAATGGCAAAACGCAAAAGTGCCAAGTGTTCACCTCTTTACACAATGTTGTCACGGACATTCACATATAAAATATTTACTCCCAGTCTGGTTACCTCAGCGTTTCACTCTTCCTCCCCCCCCCCCCCCCCCCCCCTCCCTACAGGTACAAAGCATTATCCTACCGCTTCTCTCTATAACAATAATAAAAGATATCTATGTGTTGCACTGATTGTTCCACATTTCTACACATAGATCATAGAATGTTATTATGAGGGCAAATCACTGCTTCATTTAAAATTTTATTTTATTTTTTACATTATATTTATTAGTTTAATTTTTTTTAATTAAACTCCAAATCTTTGTTTTGTTTCTGTTTGAAAATTTTGGGTTTAGCCATCAAGTCTACCCATAAAATTAATTTTCTTGTTCCCTCACCCCGCTCCTTTTAAAAGGTTTAGCAGTAATAAAACCGATTTCTTACAGAGCGGTAAACATGAACATTAATCAATCTGAAAAACAGTCTGCAATAGAGCTGGCGCATTCTTCCGTTAATATGTTTAAAATCATTAAAATTGATGCGCGGGGAGAAACTTTTAAGGAAACTGGAGTTGACTTATGAGAAGACTTTCTTTACCACGAAATTTACGAGGTTGCGTAGAATATCATTACACCACTCACAAAGAAAGTACTAAAAGTTAGTTTTAAATTTACGTTGAGTAATGTAAGTTGTCTTTAGATATTTTCAAAAACCTTTTAAGTATAATGACACCAACAGTGCGTTTAATGTGATTAATTGTGTACTAGTTATCTACACAAAAAACAACCAATATTTTTATATTTCGCTGAGTAAAAACTTTTTAGAAAATATTATAATATACTTCTTGGTTGTTATAACATATTAAATTCTTGGTTGTTACTCCTCCTTTCTTCTTCATTTTTGTCAATAAAAAGTAATGACAGTATAAGAAATGATCTAAAAACGTTAATGGCATAGTATCATATTGCCTCTAGCTATTTATGATTATGACACAAACCTCTTTGGCTAACGACAGGATTTTGTTTCAGTTCCACCGATGCTGTGGATCCCGCACCAACTGGTCGGCTCTCCTCTCGGCAGGAACGTGACCCTGGAATGTTTCACCGAGGCTCATCCCAACGCGCTCACCTACTGGACTAGAGAGGACGGGCAGATGATTCACAGCTCTAAGAAGTACCATACCATCGAGATACCACAGGAAGTACCATACAAAGTCCAGATGATGCTCACCATTGTCAAGCTGAAGCTCCAGGATTTCGGGACTTACAAGTGTGTGGCCAAGAACTCCCGCGGCGAAACAGACGGCACTATTCGACTTTACGGTAACCTTTTAGTGACCCTGCTATTGCGGATGTACACTAGCGTGGCTGCAAATTTATCTGAGTCTGCCTGAGCCAAAATTATTACTGATTTCTTTTTATTATTATTACTTTTTGTATTAATTTATTCCTCACAATTCCATCATCACCTGTCTTGATTTATCCTTCATGAAAAAAATAAAATATTACTTTTTCTGGGAATATATTCCATTCCTATATTGAAACCACCCTTTCATTTCGTGGTGGACCCACGAAATGAATCTCGAAAGTGCAATTTAGGATAGGATTAGGTTTGGTTGTACCTCAATAACAACCCTTCCCCCCTCCCTGCGTTATAAGATGTTTTAAATGAGGCCATAGTGGCCATTTCCCTAATGTAACTGAATTATTTTTAGTTTTTGTCACCATTTTCGAAATGTAAGATAAATTTTCTATTTGGTAATTAATTAGTATCAAAATATCGTTTCGTTGGGGGATCATAGCAGCCAAAGCAAAGTAAACTACTACTAAAAATTACATAAATACTCAGCAGAATGTCAAACAATGTTTTTTTATCTATGACCTCAGGAATTTCCAAAAAGTTGCTGCATCCCAAAAGATTTCTAACTGTTTTTCCAGATTTGCAAGTTTGATTTCAAAAAGTATATTTAGGTTGGGAAATCAAAAAAATGTTGGATACCTATTCTCTTTGTAAGAAATGCCTCGCGAATTCGGAAAATGGGAGGGGGGGGATTGAGACAAGTTTTGTTACATCAGAGGAATTTGAATTTAAAAGGGGTAAAAACGTGTTTAGTATTTTTTTAAAACTTGTTTATATTAGTAGGTTACATTTTCCATTACTAAACAGATCTTATGCTGGCTAGGACGTGCTCCTATCTGTGTTTCATGATGAGAAATACTGAATTCGTCATCTTTCCCTATTCGTCATCTTACACCGCCTTCACCTATTTAGCTTCCATCTTCAAATGCCTTCTTAATAATGGACAATGAATAAGGAAACCGTTGTTATTAGCCTGGCTCTCAGAAGGTGAAACCACGTAGGCTGCCCCAATAGTAATGAGAAACGCCTAATTAACTGTATTACAAAGCTATAATTAACACCTGAGCCCTTTGTTACTAATCGGAATAGCATTGCATCTGCTCATGTATAACAGAGCAAGAGTCCCGAAGTCATGTTGCTGCAATATTTTATAGCCATAAAATCATCCATTTAGCTACGAAAATTGATTTCAGCCCAATTTAAATGTTTATGAGATTAATTATCATGAGAGCGTAATTACTAATATTTTAATCACAGTGGCGTTACTAAGATTGGATGCTATCTAATGCAAGCGTTTTCTCCCTTTACCTTAATAGCACAATAATTTAGAAAAATTGTTTTTAAGCAGTAAATATTTTTAAATATTATATAAAATTTATGTTTGAAAAAAAATTTACATAAAAGTTTCTTACACGTTTAAAAATAAATAGAATTTAAATCACATTAGTGATATTTACTTGAAGTTCTTACGGGATGATGGACATATCCTCGCAATATAATAATTAAGGTTAAAACATGATATCTTATACACAGGAGGTCCCGTAAATAGAAGGGCATGTTCATAGGAGTGATGGCAGACGTTAAGTTCCACAAAAGAAAAAAAAAAAAAAAAAAAAAAAAAAAAAAAATATATATATATATATATATATATATATATATATATATATAAACAATGGCCAATTCTGAAGAAATGTTTAATTTAAGTAATTAATAATTCCTTCATTGTAAACTAGATAAAATTTATCTCAAATGAAACTAGAGTTTTTTATTTTAAAAACCATTTAATGAGGACTTTTGAGCGGCTAAACTAAGTTCTGTTTTAAACAAAGTAGGAAAAATACGAGTTTTGTGTTTTTTTTTAAGCAACTCGTGGTTTTTGTTGAATAGGAAGCGGTAACTGAAGAAATGTTTAATTTAAGTAATTAATAATTCCTTCATTGTAAACTAGATAAAATTTACTTTAAATGAAACTAGAGTTTTTTTTCATTTTTAAAACCATTTAATGAGTTCTTTGAGGCGGCTAAACTAAGTTCTGTTTTAAACAAAGTAGGAAATACAATTTTTGTGTTATTTTAAGCAACTCGAGATTTTTGTTGAATAAGAAGTGGTAACTTTTTTTTAAACTTTTTTATTGAGAAATATTACAATCTGTCTCAGAGGACATTTATAATAGTATTTAAAGATTACAAAAGCGATAACTAATGAAATATCCAATTTAAACCAAAAGTTTTTTTTAATAGAGTTTTTCATTTTTAAAATCATTTAATGAGAACTATTGAGCAGCTAAACTAAGCTAAATTCTATTGTTAAAAAATCATAAATTATTCACGACTTTTTTTATCATCATCATCCAACTATACTACAGATACCCTACTTTCATAAAAACTTCTTTAATTAATAAGCTTCAAATCTGTATTAATTAATTTGAAGTTTATAAGGGAAAGGTTGAGATTCACCTCAAGGTGTGTAAAAAATGAATGTGATTTTTTATCCTTTCAAGTAAAAGTACCCCTGTTTTCAGCAATAATTACGACAATTCATTGTTGCAAAGATTTTATTTCTTGTTTTTCCATGAACTGGGGTATTTTAATATAAACTTAATTGCCTAAATACACTCTTTATTTATAATAGAAATAAATTTGACAAATACTGATTTTCAAGTATTATTGCGGTAAAGAGTTTATGAAACTTTTAGAGATTTAGTTTGCCCCTTATAAATACGGGGTTATTCCTATGATACTAATCTGGATGAAAAACATAGTTTCATAAACTCTGTACCGAAATAGTATTTGAAAATCAGTATTTTTCAAATTAATTTTTTTATTGACAAATCGTGTGTTTAGGTAATTGGGTTTATTATAATACATCCCAAATCATGAAAAAACAAGAAATAAAATCTTTGCAACAATTAATTATAGTCATTTTTGCTGAAAACAGGGGTAGTTTTACTTGAACGGATAAAAATTCATATAATTTTTTTACACACCTTGAGGTGAATCTCAAATTTTTCCCTGATAAACTTCAAATTAATTAATACAGATTTAAAGTTTATTAATTGAAGAAGTTTTTTTATAAAAGTAGGGTATCTGTAGTATAGTTGGATGATGATAAAAAAAAAAATCGCGAATAATTAATGAGTTTTTTTAAAACAGAACTTAGCTTAGTTTAGCCGCTCAAAAGTCCTCATTAAATATTTTTAAAAATGCAAAACTCTAGTTTCGTTTAAATTAAATTTTATCTAGTTTACAATGAAGGAATTATTAATTACTTAAATTAAATATTTCTTCAGTTATCACTTGGATAAAGCAAAACTTGGATTTCCTAATTTTTTGCTAAAAATTGACCCATTGTTTATATGTTTTTTATGTAACTCCCGAGGTCTGCTTTAGCTCCTATAAAAATTCCCTCTGCTAACGGAACACACTGTATAGATAATTATACAGAATGTTACAAAACACATTATTATTAATTTGCCTTAATAATAGTGCTTGAAACATGACATTTTACCATTAAATTAACATAATGTCAATAATACAATTTAATTCCTATTCGTTTTACCAACTGCAATACCATAATTAATTAGAATTGGGATTTAAAAACTTTATTTGGAGTAGAAAATTTTGATTAGTAATCTAACCTTCTATCCAATTGGATTTTTTTTTGGTAGGGGGGAGCCATATGAAACAAAACGCAATTAATTAAATGGAATTGTCGTTGAACCTTCGTTATTCTTGAGCAGCCATCCGTTCACTCACTTGTAAATAAAAAAAAACCCAATTCCATTTATACAGATAGTGATGTAAATATTAATCTCCGTATCGATATAGAAATCGATATGAGTAAATAAAGAAGTCGAATGAGTAAACAATGACCAACAAATATATATATGAAGTAACATTGAAATTATCTAGAACGATATTGGTACAAGAGTGTTAGATAAAGCTGGGCAAATGTCAGGAGTATTTGACATTTGAGGACGCCACCTCCGGCTTCCTCCATAAACTTCCACAGTCGCCAAACAAAACGGGCTATCGCCCGGATCGGCTGCTACAAAGCAATATCTGTTATCCTCCCGCTTGTGTCAGATACCGACAGATCCAAGCGTCCGTTCGTCGCTTTCCCTCAGATAGTCTCGAGCTAGGAAGGCTTATTCCTGGAATTTGAAGGTCGGCCCTGGACAGTTTTGCTTTAAAGTGCAAAAAAACTGCAACACGAAACTAGACAAAAAACGGTAAAATAACTTTTATGAATTATGCTTTATAATTTAAAGAGAAGAGAATTGCAACAAATTTGAAAGACAATTCAACTCAGTTGCTTAATGACATACTCATTAGTCTATTCGATAATAATTAAGAAAAAAGGCTGAGGAAGAATAAAATTAAACGGGACTATCTTCCTAAATACTGAATATTACGATTTTGTTTATTTAATTTATTTTCCCTTTCTGTTCACATAATTTTTTGGAGTGGGGTAGCTCAGTGGTAGTTCACTGAGCTTCCAATGCAAAGGTCCCTGGTTCGAACCCCGGCTCATGGCTAAAAATTTATTTATCTGTTTCGTTGGCCGTGGGGCGACCCTGGGTCAGGAGACCCTCCTGGGGCACACCCAGCCTCTATAAATTGGGTACCCTTAATTAAATAATTGATTAAGGGGGAGTCGTAAACCAATGACTTCCTGTCCTTCAGTATCCTTTAACAACACCTCACTTATTCCTGTTGAACAAATCCGTTACCTAGGACTCCATCTGGACAAACGTCTAACTTGGAATCCTCATACCAGACTGAAACGACAAGAAACCGCTCGACGTTTCCGACTACTTCAACACTTACTAGACAAACGCTCTAACCTTCCAATCAATTATAAAAGACTGATTTACATGACTATAATAAGGCCTATTTGGACTTACGGGGTTGAGCTATGGGGCTCCACCAAGCCTTCAAATTCCTCTCGCATACAGTCCTTGCAATCCAAAATCCTTCGTAAAATCCTCAATGCTCCTTACTTTGTTACAAATAAAATTATCCATAATGACCTTAATGTTCCTTATGTATCAGATTTGGCCCAATCCAGATATCTGTCCTTCCATAATAAACTTCATAACCATCCCAACCCTCTTGTCTCTAACCTTGCTTCCTATTCGATTCCTGATAACCCTCCGAGGCATCTGAAAAGAAGATGGCCACGTGATCTTCTAATATATACATATTATTAGAGTGCTACCAATGGGTAGTTTCTCTACATGTGTTCCATGTCTTTATACCAATGTGCAAATTTACTAGATGTATTTTTTTGTATACAGTTGTAAATATCATTTAAAATAAATAAATAAATAAAAAAATTAAGGGGGAAACCTGGCGGTTGAGCGTGATCTTGGTAAAATCACCTCCTTGCACAACCGTTGACCTAGAAACAGTGCTTTCCCTAAATAGTACTGAACCCCAGACCCTACATGGGTTGTAGTGGTACAGGTTTTTTTCAGGTTCACATAATTTACATAGAAAAAGTCATAATAAAGGTAAGTGGTGCAGAATTCCAAGCTAATCCAAAATTATAGTTACCGTCATAATCTCTAACTCATTCTTTTTCGGCATCTGTTTTTTTTTTCTTTTTAAACATAATAGAAAAAAAAATATCAAAATATGTTGGTATCAAGTCATAAAATGAGCATGTTGGGCCAAATCTTATAATTATCAGCCTGAGTTTAACTTATAGTTATATCCTAAAAAATATGTGATTTACTGATTTTGTGTCAGCTGTATGGGAAATTCCAATCCAAAAAAAAATAATAATAACAAATTAAAAAAAATATTTGCAATATTAATGACAACCCTATAACAACATACTAAAATTTTAGTCGTTATTCATGATTTTTTTTTATAATTTATTTAGTGAAATTTACAACTGTATAAACAATACAACTAGTAAAAATGCATACATTAGAAAGAATGACATGAACAGACTTGAAATGATACTGCCCAGTGGTAGCACTCCCTATTTAATTCTAGTGGAGAAGATCACGAGGCCATCTTCTTTTCAGACGCCTAGGGGGATAATCAGGAATTGCGGAAGAAGCAAGGCTGGAAACAAATGGATTCGGATGGGACTGGAGTTTATCATGAAAGGATAGGTATCTGGCTCGGGCTAAATCAGCGGCATATGGAACATTAAGGTCTTTATGAATGGTTTTATTTGTAATAAAATATAGGGCATTGAGGATTTTACGAAGGATTTTGGATTGTAAGGATTGGATACGATAGGAATTCGATGGTTTGGTATTAAAAGTTTAATTTTAAGCGACTAAAACTTCAAAATTAGGTGAATATTAAACTAAAGCAATGGTCGATGTTTATGGATCTTTATCTCTTTTTATGTTTTGCGCTATTTCCTCAAAACAATGAGTTATTCGCCTTGTTTTGGTTATATGTTTAGGAAATATTCGCACCAAAAACTTTTCGTTGTTATGAATTATTTACGTTATATGAAATAAACAAAACCTATTCATTTGTTATAACTACTTTAATTATTAATTATTAACATTAACATTTATATTAAATATTTTTCAAAGTGAAGGTATGTCCGCAAACAATTTGTTTAGGAGTTACCTCCAGTTAAAATAGTTCCAATTATCAAATTGATACAGATATCTGGAATGGGCCAAATCTGATACATAAGGAACATTGAGGTCATTGTGGATGATTTTATTTGTAACAAAGTAAGGAGAATTGAGGATTTTACGAAGAATTTTGGATTGTAAGGATTGTTGGAGCCCCATAGCTTAACTCCGTAAGTCCGAATAGGCCTTATTATAGTCATGTAAATGAGTCTTTTATAATTAATTGGAAGGTTACAGCGTTTGTCTAGTAAGTGTTGAAGTAATCGGAAACGTCAAGCTGTTTCTTGTTGTTTCAGTCTGGTATGAGGATTCCAAGTTAGATGTTTGTCCAGGTGGAGTCCTAGGTAATGTTTCAAAATTAAATTAAAAGATTACCCCTGTACCTAAGAGAACAACCCAGAAAAAGACAGATACATGCGGATGTGCAATATGAAATTTTTGCCATAATATGCAGAGGACAATATTCCAGATTACACTACCAATTCTCTATAGTTTGATATATTTGAGATAAAAAAATATAATTTACTCATATCTTTTGCACTGGTTGGCTTAAATATTTCTATCCCATCAAGACTTTCCACACCCTGTTAAATTCTTAACCTTAAACTACTGTAAATTGGGCGTTTAAAATATATATATATACGGGGGAGAAATATATGATCAAGATTTCTGTTAATAATAAAATTGTGAAAATTAATCCACAACTTGTGTGCAAAATGTGCAACACTGAAGAAAACGAAATACTTCATCATATATTATTTAAATGCCCAATTTACAGTAGTTTAAGGTTAAGAATTTAACAGGGTATGGAAAATCTTGATGGGATAGAAATATTTAAGCCAACCAGTGCAAGCTTAAATATTTCTTAAATTATTTACCTTAAACTACTGTAAATTGGGCATTTAAGTAATATATGATGAAGTGTTTCGTTTTCTTCAGTGTTGCACATTTTGTACTCAAGCTGTGGAGTAATTTTCACAATGTAAATGTGACTAATTATTCTTTTTAAAAATGTCTATACTATACCATAACCGCGAAGTAAAAATTATATATTTAATTAAATGAAAAACAAGATCCGTTGGTATAGGGTAATAGTAGATGGCGTAGACATAAAGATTGTGAATAGTTCTATGGTTTAATATTGGAATAGTTTGGTCAAGTTATGATTGGCGATTCTAAGAAGGGGTTGGAGAATATCGAGGTTATCAGTCGGAGCTTCAACATCAGTCAAGAGCTTTGCACATTTACGTAATTGATCTTTCTAATTATTCCAAGATCAAAGTTATGAAAGTAGCGTTTAAGTCCACCCTAAAAATCTTATTCGATACCTAATGTCCTATCACCAAATTCAAATACACTTTTCTCCTCTGTATACAAGTACACGAGTAAAGGAAATAATTATATACTCTGTGAAAGCAGCCGTGGATCGATTCCTCACTTAAAATCATTTTAATCCTCTGTTCAACTTTAAATAACTCTTGTTTATGTCTTAGTATTTGGTCGGCTAGACCATTTTGCATAATTTTTATTTTTTTATTATTCTGTGATTTAGTTTTCCAAAAGGATATGACTTTTCTTCTCATTCGTATAATCTAGTATTTGATTTTTCTGATCCTTTATGATTCCCAACCTTTCTGTTCAGATCCGCACGTGAATTACTATGCACTTTCTGATGGTTATCTATGAATAAATCAAGTGATTTATAAAATTCATGATTTCAATCCGTATCACCTGGCAGGCAGACTTGAACAGCCCACGCAATTTGTAGTTTCCCCCTTTAGTTGTAGAGAGCACTACCAGCACAACCCATTCCCAAGTGCCCCACGCTATATGCACATTACAGCATGCTCTTTTTTTGTTTCTGACTAACTTTAATTTGACTTTTTTTTCTTCTAAGCTTCTGCTTTGATGACCACCACCACGCTACCAGTCACCGAAGAAACCGTTAAGAAAGGTAACAGTGGCACTTGTATTGTAGCAGGAGTAGAGGCGGCCCTCTGCATTATGGATCATGAAATAGTCGATCTAACCAAACATCGATTAGCTTCAATTCGATTATTGCCCTATCGATTTGTAACTCCTATTACCAAAAGTTTTTTTGATCCATTTGCCTAAAACATCCTCATTGCTTTCCTATATCAAGGCAGATACGATCCATAATTAAAGTTATCATGCTGTCGACAATAATCCCATCTTGAACGGAATACCATGTCTCACGACTACACTTATACATCAAATTCCAAATATATTTCCTACCATAGATTTACTTTTTAACTAAGAATCACTCAATATATCTTCACTAACGATTAAAACATTTAATTAACATATTGAACACTTTGCCTGACAAAAAAAACCTAACCTTGTTCCAACAAAATTAATCGATTTGCCTGCCTCCAATAAGTCATATCAATTATAAGCTTGTCCTCATGGTAAAAAAAAATACTATTCCATAATTCATGCGATGTGTAAGTTTAAGTATTTATCTGGTTTGATTCATACACAGTATATATATAATATTTATCATTTACTCTTTGTATTCCAACGAATTGAGTCCACTAAAACATCAATGGCTCGTATGATTAATGAGCGACATACGCTCCTAATTCACATTTCAGTTCAGTCAAATCGAAAAATCCTTGCAGTGGAAAATTCACAGGAATTTCCCACTTTGAACTACTACCCGATTTGATTATTTGCTCGATAATTTACAAAGGTTATTGTTGCATTATTTAATATAATTGTTTGTAAATAATATAAAATTGTTTTCATTGGCTTACTTCATATTTTTTTGGTTACTTTATACGAATCTGAAGTTTTCCAATTAACATTTTTTCGGCAAACATGAAAAATAAAATAAATAAAACGAAACTCAAAGTTCGTACGAAAAAAAAGTGATGCTATATTAAAAATAAATGAGAAAATTGTTCACAATTTTCTCATTATTTTTTTTTATTTAATTATTTTTTTAAAACCATTTATGGCTTCACGCCGCAAAAGGGCAGCATTATTATATGATAAGCAGCATAGACTTGAGAATATAACTGGGAATAGCGAATATGCGATTGTAAAATTTATTTATAAACTTTAATTTAACATTTATTCTAGGTGATATCGGAGGGAGCTCTTTACTTCTCATGTGCCTTTTCCCACGTAACTCATTTAAAATTTTTTTAAAAAGATATAAAAAATCATAACTACAAATATAATAATAATAGATAGAAAAAAAATTGGAAAACTTTAAAATATGTGTATTGCTATTTTTCTCTTTAAGCGGAAGCCTGGCAAAAGACATATTCAAATTATACTAACATGGATCGTAAATAATTCTCTCATCTTTATTTTAATGCATTGTAATATCTTTTTTTTTTTCCTTAAAAACTTATTTTTGAATTCTATAATCCCAAAATAAAGAAATTAAAAATAATAAATAAAATTTTGATGAACATTAGACTCCTGTTCATTGTTCCAAACAACATGAAACCATGATGAATTTTTTTTCCAGAATTTTCCACTTCAAATTTCAATTTGATTAGGCTATTTGCTCAATTATTTACTAAAGTTTGTGTTGTGTTATTTTAAATTAAGGAAAAGAAAATAATAATAATATATATATATTTTTAAAAGATTTTTTAAAATATTTATTAATTGAATAATATAACATTCTATCACTTAGAAAAATAAACAGAAGCAATATGAAAATTAAAAATAATCAAAAAGTATATACAATAAATTAAATTAAATAACTTAAGATAAGTCAGTTAAAAAACATTTATACCTTTATACACTATTTACAATCAGGCGAAGGAACTCCGAGGCAGGTTTGTCCCTCCAACTATGGAGGAAAAAGCTGGACTCCAGGAGATCCCAGCGCTAATCGGTTTATCTGACGAACGGTATAAACAGGCTGAACAGTCCTAAGCTTATATTCCTAGGAGTTAAAATAAAATTTAATTTCACTGTTGGAATACATTTACAAACCTTCATGTTCTCCATTATGATAACCTTAAATCCATCTCCTTGTTACCTAAACATCAATGCATGATGACTTTTTTTCCCCTCATCAACACTCCCTTAAACACCAAGTTCAATAGATGAACTCAGTTCTACGAGTAATTTTCGTATTCTGCGTATCAATCTAAAATTTTAATGGACAAACCGCCATGGTTCCAACGAAAAATGCCATTCTTGTTGAAATTAAAATGGTCGATATAAAAGAATCTCAACCTGTTCAAGAGAACTTTCATGATCTGTAATGGCCATTGGTCAGCCCAAGTATTAGATCTTTAGCACTACTATCACACTATAGTATATATAAATATATTTATATCATCCTGTATTTGTTTGTTTTTTTCTTTCTCTTGGTCAGAAAATAAAATATTTTATTTCAGATACACCAATAGAGTTCGAGAACGAGGAGAAACCAGTTGAAAAACCAAAGGAGAAAAAGGAGAAAGGTAAATATATAACAAAACTTCAGTAATTAATGAATATTAAAGCGGCCACTGACTTAACTGCACCGTTGTTTTTCCTCCCAATGTCCAACATCAGCGTTAATTCGCCCCTGTGTGAGCATCGGCGAAGGTGTGTGATCTTAATCCGTGTACCTTATTCGGAAACCATAATGTTTTCAAGACATCAGTCAACTGCCTTGAGATTCGATCCGTAGACAGTGTGCTTCAGGGAAAAAATACAGGTGCTCGTGGACCGGCTGACCCTGGGCGGCCACAATCCATGGACTTTGACCGATTTGTTACTGAACTTAAACCGGAGTGAATCGGTGGTAATGACACTTTCAAATAGGCCCCAAAAGGATCGCTTATGTATTTACGGGAAGCCTACTGTTCCATTATAGAAATCTTTGTTCAAAGCAACTTGAGGTTGACTGGCCATCTTCAGGCTGCCTATGCTTCCACAAGCAATATATTTCTGTAAAAATGTGGCATCTTACCGCCAAAGATTTTCATGATATATGTGCCAACATAATAGAAAACTCATATTATAAAATCTTATATTTTTTTTTCTCTCTTTTTCTCGCCTCTACCCTAAAGGGTCATTGGCGTTTTTAAAATCTTATATTTATAAGTATTGTTATTATTATTATAAAATCTAACTATTTCATGTCAGGCCTCTTGAACCCCCAGGCCCTGATTCCATTATATACTATCATTTGATATTTACAACCATTCACTTAGTCTCTTAAAGCTGTTGAAGTGAGATTTTATACCTCCGATCCATATTAATGTGATGTAATTTTTGGAAGATTTTTAATTTACAATCTTTCGATAACAACATAATAATAGCAATACTATATTAAGCAAAAAACTGCTTTAAAATATATTGATTTTCTCTCACATTTCGGTATTTCATTCAAATTCTTAAAAATGTTTGTACAGATTTATTTTGCTTTACTAAGTGAAACTTTTTTTGTCATAGAGCATTCATTATAAATTCATCCTCTAAATGTATTACTTAATTAATTTAGTTCATAATAATATTATTAAGAAAATTGAAGTATTTTTCAATCTTTTTTTTAATGATAAGGAGTTGATGGGGGGGGTCAAATAAATACTAAATTATACAAATAGTATTTGCCGACGTTTCGACCCACTTTGCAGGGCTTCATCAGGGAGGGCTACAAAAGATACAAAACAAGTGAAAATAAAATAAATGAATATAAGTAGATATAAAATAAGAATAAGTTGTCTGATAAAGAAATAAAAAGATGATAACAGAGATATAGTGGGTGACAACGTAGTTAAAATATCAATTATTATATGTATATCAAGGAATACTCCTTTATTGCCCGGTCCACTGCCTTCTGGAATTCCTTGTCATCTGATATCCGCCTTGCCTCTTCCTTGTCCTAATTTAAATATCATCTCTACCAATTCCTTCTCACATCCCAAAATGACGTTATACAATGAAATAAATATTGCGAAACAGATTTTGACTGAGGTGAATGGTTGTTAAAATTGATTGAGTTTTAATTTTAAAAATCAACCCATGCTTACATTATGTTGTTTTGTTTTTTTCATTTAAATAATGTTTTTTATTTTTCAAAATGGTATTATGTTTACTTGTTTTAATATACTTTTACTGAGATACTTTATATTTTCTTTAATGTTGATTAATGTAATTTATGGCCAGATATAGTTTTAATTTTTTTTGTTCATAACAATTATTCATAAGGGACCTCGTCCCAGAATAAAGTTTACTTTCTATCCATCTATCTATTTGTCTATATAGAAGACATAAACAAAAACGAAAAATAAGTATGAATATGTTTGTATCTTCTATATATATAATAATTGATATTTTAACTACATTGTCACCCTCTATATCTCTGATATCATCTTTTTATTTCTTTATCAGACAACTTCTTATTTTATATCTACTTATATTCATTTATTTTATTTTCACTTGTTTTGTATCTTTTGTAGCCCTGATGAAGACCTGCTAAGTGGGTCAAAACGTCGGAAAAAAATTAAATAATACTATTTGTATAATTCAGTATTTATTTCACCTCACCCCCCGATCAACTCCTTCTCATATAACACGGTCAACCATATCTATTATTTTTTTAGTGTGAACTATTATTATTTGCAACTAATCTTTGCAATATTATTCTGAACTGACTAAAAGTTGGGTTTACAGACAAATATCAATGTTATTAGCAAATTCTACTGAGCCTTGTGTTTTTAAGATGCTATTTCCGCTGTAAGCCCACCTTAAGACATTTACCTTTATAATAAATTGGAAATCCTTCATTTGTAACACATGTAATGTTGATGGAAAAAGATTAATGCTGTTTTTATTTAGCAGGTGGTAAAGGAGTAAAGGCGAGCCCAAACAACGTAGACAAGTTGCAGAACAAGAAGCAGGAAGCCAAGTCCCCACCGTCAGACAGAAGGGCAGAGAGTGAGTTGCCGGCATTTGCAAGTCATATCACTGTTCCCTGTTCCCAGTGTTTATCACCAGCACACGGTTCATTTAGGCTACATCTGTCCCGCGTCCACATCTTCCGAGGCCTTTAACAACATTTATAAATCGAGAATAAAACTTATTTTCTAATTCCGTGAGAGGTTACTTCTTTAGGTCTATTTGTTGGTTTAAGAACTATGAGCTCAACCACTAGCGGATTCGGGGGGAAAGGATTGGAAATTTAATATTAAGTTATAATTGGAAAAATACCATCCACACAGTCTTGTGAATCCAAAATGCAAATAAAATTAAAAAAAAAAAAAGTCTAAAGTTTAAACAAAATTTCGCCAATTTAGGCATAATCAGGACAGAAACAACAATCAAATCGAATATCACATTTCTGTCCTGATGATCCCTGGAATTGGCGAAACGTTGGCTGGTTTTTATTTTTACCTGCGAATTGGAGACAAGCGTGTGTGGTTGAATTATTTCCAATTATAACCTAACCCCTTGGATTTCGGTCTCTTGGTGAGTTTTTTACTAGCTTGTATTAATAAACTAAATTTTGAATACATTAAATTAAATTATTTTTTTAATAATACAAAAATAAAATAAATGAAACTGAGGAAGTGGCCTCTATCTATCTGAATGATGGATTAAAAACTACTTTAGTTACTATAACCATCATTTCTTCTTCCATTACTCTCATTATATATATATATATATATATATATATATATATATATATATATATATATATTATATATATATATATATAAAGGATGTACCGTAAGCAGAGGGAAGTTTTTATAGAATAGCTGACCTCAAGAGCTACGAAAAAGTTCATATAAACAATGGGCGAATTTTCAGCAGAAAAGTAGAAAATCCAAGTTTTGTTGTTTTCTCAAGTGAGTCATGTTTTCTATTGAACCGAAAGCAATAACTAAAGAAATATTTAATTTAAGTAATGTTTATTTATTTATTTTATTTTTATTTTTTATGGTATTGTATATATGGTATGAATGTGCCTCACTCAGCCTTAGTACTCAGTACCCTTAAGTGTGGCAAAATGTATTATTTCTCAATAAACAGATACAAAAAAAAAAAATTTAAGTAATTAATATTGCTCTATCGTAAACAATATGAAATTTGCTTTAATTGAACAGGAATTTTATCATTGTTAAAACTCTTTAAACAGGATTTTGAGCGACTAAACTATGCTAAGTTCTGTTTTTAGAAAAATCATAAATTATTCGCCATTTTGTTTTATCATCATCCAACTATACTAGTATTGCCCCGATTTTACAAAAGCCTATTTGTTCAATAAGCTTTAACTTTGTATTAATTACTTTGAGGTTTTTAGAAAAAAAAAATTATATTCAGCTAAAGTTTTGTAAAAAAGATATTTTTTATCCTGTCAAGTATAAGTACCACTGTTTTCAGCAAAAATAACTACAATTAACTGTCTCAAAGCTTTTATTTCTTGTTTTTCAATCATTTGGGGTGTAATATAATACACATTTTATTTATGAAAAAAATTAATTTGAAAAATACAGATTTTTCAAATATGTTTTGGATAAATTGGTTGTAATTTATTTTTACCCAGATTTCTATTATAGGAATTGATCTGTATTTATGAGTGACAAAACAAAAGTTTCTAGTCATATTATCTATGTATAAAATAGAAAAAATTGCTTCAATTATTTTAATTAAAACGTTAATATTAGGATTAGGAACATTTAGTTTGTCACTCATAAATACAGGTCAATTCCTAAAATAGAAATCAAGCTGAAAAAAACAGAGTTTATAACCGATTTACCGGGAAAAAAAATTTTAAAATCATTATTTTTAATTTTTTTTATCGATAAAAAGTGTATGTAGGAAATTATTTTTATTACATTAAATCCCAGGTAATGGGAAAACCATAAATAAAATCTTTACAACAGTAAATTGTAGCCATTTTTGCTGAAAACAAGGGTACTTTTAGGCGACTGGTTATAAAATTACATCATTTCTTTACAAAACTTTAGGCGAACCTCAAATTTTTGCCTAATAAACCTCAACTTAATTAATACGGACTTAAAGCTTATTAAACGAGGAAGTTTTCCTAAAAGTGGGATATCTGTAGTACAGTTGGAGGATGGTAAAAATAAATCGCTAATAATTTATGACTTTTCTAAAAAGCAGAACTTAGCATAGTTTAGCCGCTTAAAAGTCCTCTTTATATGGTTTTAACAATGATAAACTCTGTGTTCATTTAAAGTAAATTTTATCTTGTTTATAATGAAGCTATTATTAATTAGTTCAATTAAATATTTCTTTAGTTATTGCTTTTGATTCATTAAAAACACAAAACTTAGATTCTTACCTTTCTCCTGGAATTTGGCCCATTATATAACCTTTTTTGTAGCCGTTGAGGTCTGCTATCACTCCTATAAAAATTTCCCTCTAGTTACAGGATACCCTGTATATATATATATATATATATATATATATATATATATATATATATTATATATATAATATATTATATATAAATATATATAATCAAACTTAATTGTTTATAGTTCAATATCATTGCTTCAAGTTGTGTAAAAATGAAGTTTGGTTGAGTGACCCTTAAATATTTCTCGTGAGGGGGGGACCGTCTGTTTCCATACCCCTATTCCTTTCCCTAACATATAATCCAAAGTTACACCAGCCTTTAGTTAATGGAGTGAAATTTTGAGTCCTATCTACCACTGTCGTCATTTAAATACTAATTTACTTCATGAATTTCACAAAATAAAAGGAAAATATTTTTACTCAATATACTGCTTCAATATTCGTTTTTAATATATCTATGGCTAATTTTATATATATTGTAAGTGCTAATTTTATAGCTTGAAGTGTATTTGTATTTGTATTTGATGTTCACTTCAAATAATTATGCAGATCTAAATTTGACATTTTCATACGGTTCAACCCTTTCATAAATTATTTATTTTCTTAACTCTTCGTCAATATGATTTTCTTTTTTGTTGAAGGAAGTTAAAATGATTAGCACCCATTAATTGTTTAATTGCGAAAGCGGCTTAGTACGGGTAGTTATTGTTCCTTAGAAGCTGAGGCATTGTCCTCCGCGATAATGTAGAGTCCAGTTTCCCTCATTAGTTTGACCCTTATTGTCATATTGTTGAATACGATGTATATATCCTCTGAGATCCCTCCGTGATATCATGAATACAATTATCAATGTATCTGGAATTAATGACGAGATGTTTACTTCTATTACTCCAACTATCCCCACCAATCAAACTTACTTGCTATTTTCTTGCAATTTAGAGTTTTCGATTAAAACACAGATTAATAATTAACTATTGAAAGTTATTAATTTTTTGTTCTTTTTCGAAGAAAAATAAATACGGGAAAATGAGCTGGCGTTGAAGGTAAGTGCATTAGGCCCGGACAAGAGGTTGCTTGCTGTCATCGGCACATCACTTCCCTTAACCTTTTCCATCTGCTCGACTCACCCCCCACCCCTCACCCTTCTCTCCCTCCCACAGCCCTTTTCAGTATCCCGCTAACTGAATAAATTATTGCAAATAATATGTACGTCCTTTAGTAAGGTAAATTGTATCATTTTCCGCTTGTGTAAATAATATTACTGCAGAATAATATAGCCCAACCTCCGAATAACGAACTTCCATATTTCGAAATAATGGGCAGTATATATCGATATGATGGTAGTAGATCTGATGGGCTACAGATACAAATTGTACAGACCTAAGGTATCCAAATTTTTTTGCCTGAGGACCACATAGAGATTGCCACTAGGTCCCGCTGGCCATGATTTGTGAGACAAAAATATCGATTACTCGATGTTTAAAACCATTGAAAGTCAAACATCGATGTTAACGATACATCGGAATAACAACTTTTTTTTTTTTTGTATTTATTGCCTGGAACATTTAATTATTGATTTTTTTAAAAATCGACACATCAAAATATTTTCCCGTTCATTCAGCAATCGTTTTAATTTATTTTTTAAATCAATCGATGTCGTATAATATGACATTTATTTAAACTCTCTGTCAGCTACTCGGGTTAGAAGTTTCTGCACGCAAACGAATAAAATGAGCAATAACATGGAAATCTGGTCTCTAATTACATCCGAGTCCAGAAATGATATAAATCATGAACCCTATCAGGGATAGTAGATGGCTCTTGCTAATAGAAAATAATAATAATAAAAGACTTAGCGAACCCGAAGGTTCGATGCCGACACCACCAATCGCTTATTACACACCTCCCTCCACCATTCCCCGTCCAAACCCAGTCCCTTCAGATCGGCTTTAATGCAATCTTCCCACCTTCGCTTCGGTCTACCCCTCGGACGCTTACCATTCGGCACAGCAAATATTAACCTTTTAGGAATTCTTTCGTTACTAAGCCCAACTACTTTACAAGCCTATTTGATTTGCCGCGATGAAATTACCTCAATTATATTACCCGGATACAGTTCACGCAATTCGGCGTTGTGTAACCGTCTGAACTCTCCGGTTAACTCATCCTTCTTCGGTCCGAATATTCTACGCAATACTTTATTTTCAAAAACCTTAAGACGCTGCTCATCCCTTAATGTAAGCGGCCAAGTTTCGCATCCATAAAGAACTGTAGGCATGATAATTGTTTTATAAATTCTAAGGAACAAGAGGCGCGAACTAAGTAGTTTTGTCACGGAAAAATAACAAGCATTTCCCGCCTTCAGTCTAACCTTAATCTCTTCTTCAATTTCGTTTTTTCTAGTTATCGTAGAACCTAGATACCTAAATTTATCTACCTGTTCAAACATATTACCATCTATATCGATATCACCAGTAGTATCGCCATTTTTGCAGCTAACCATATATTTTGTTTTATCCACGTTTATTTCGAGTCCTAGTTCTTAACCGGCTTTCATTAACGTTGTCGCATTTAGTTTTATAATTTCAACGTCTTCGCTTAACAGTACCAGATCATCAGCATAGCCCAGCACGGATGTTGTCTCCCCAAGATCCAACTCTTTCTCGGTACGCATTACCTCCCTAATGGCATGCTCTGATGCCAAATTGAACAGGACAGGCGAAAGGGA